CAGCCTCAGCGCCTCCAGCGCCAGGGCCTCCAGCTCAAGAGTCTCCAGCTCCAGTGCCTCCAGCTCCAGCGCCTCCATCGCCAGGGTCTCCAGCTCCAGCTCCTCCACCTCTGACGCCTCCAGCGCCAATGTCTCCAACTCCAGGGTCTCCAGCTCCAGCGCCTCCAACACCACCAGCCCCGGCAGCTCCAGTACCTCTAGTACGAGCACCTCCAGGACCAGCAGCTCCAGCACCTCCGGTACCTCCAGCTCCGGCAGGAACTCCAGCACCTCCAAGACTAGTAGCTCTAGCACCTCCAGCTCCAGTGCCTCCAGCGGCAGAGCCTCCAGCTCCTGCAGCTCCACTCCTAAGGCGTGTGTGCAGAGCAAACCACTCGCGCAGCTGCTGCGGTGAGAGAGGCTCCCTCCGAGGAGACAGACGTGACGAGGCACCCGCAGGACCTCCAGCAAACGCAGTACCCCTACGCTCGGCACCCCCAGACTCCGCACCCTCAGACTCAGCACCCCCAGGCTCCGCACCCTCAGGCTCAGTACCCCCACGCTCCGCACCCCCAAGCTCAGCACCCCCAATCTCCGCACCCTCAGACTCAGCACCCCCAGGCTCCGCACCCTCAGACTCAGTACCCCCATGCTCCACACTCGTAGGCTCAGCACCCCCAGACGCAGCAACCCCCAGACGCAGCACCTCTAGCAGCTCCTGAGTCTACAGCGACCTCCACAAGCACAGCCAGGGGGAGTGGGTCTACCTGAGACACACGTGAGGGAGCAGGACCCTGAGGGGGGAGGGGGTCTACCGGAGGGGGACCGGGAGCAAAGAAGAGCGGCGGGGGGAGGGAGAGGGGCAGTGCGGTAGGGGAAGATACGGTAGAAGGGAACCGACTCGTCAAACGTAACGTCCTGAGAGGGGAGGAGATGGCGCGAGGTGGGGTGGTAATACTGCTAGCCATGCGCGTCAGGGGGAAAGCCAAGGAAGACGCAGGGAATGGCACGGGAGGAGAGCTTGTCCGCAGAAGTATCGTGGACAAAGGCACGAGAGCCCCAAACCCAGAACACCGACGCATCGCCAACCTTCCCCGTCCAACGCAGTGTAGGCGAGGTCTCCGGCAAGGAGACACGAGGCCAGAGGTTGAGCTGATGCGCAGCGTACCGGACCGTAAACGGCCACAGAAAATGGGAGCAACTGCATGGATCATGGAGGTACGAGCGACCTCCATGACTAAGCCAATGTGGCGCTCCGCAATCCCATTTTTCTGCGTGGAGGCCGGAAGCGTGAACGACTGGAGGATGCCCTCCCCACGACAAAAGTCCCACAAGAGGTTGGAGGAGAACTCACCACCTCTGTCAGAGTGCAGACGCAGGACAAGAAGGTCCTCGCGGAAACGCTCGTGGAGCGGGAGACGGACTACAAGGATCCAAGGGATCAAGACATCAGGGACCTCACCCTTGCTGCGCAAGGGGAAGACCGTGGTGTAACGCGTGTAGTCGTCAACAACCAGCAGGAAGTAGTGCTTGCGGCCCTGTCTACTGACGCGGGCTGGGCCCCACACGTCCATGTGGAGAGTCTGCAGGGGAGGAGTCGTCGGGGGAAACGAGGAGGAGTGAGGAGCGGCGCGCTGCCGCCCCTCGACGCAAGGAAGGCAGGGCGGGGCAGGCGAGGGCGGGAGGGGAGGCAGTGACCCGGGAAGACCAGAAACAAGGAGGCGGGAGTGCATGCCACGAAGGCGTGGCAGGGAGGGGTGGCCAAGGCGGTGGTGCCACAGGAGAGTTTGGTGTGACCAAAGCTAACATGAGCAGGGGGGTGCTACCGGACCTGACGCAAACACATGGGCAGATGCAGCTACCTGAGGAGGCTCGGTAGCCAGTGTGTACAGACTCGACCATGGCCGACGGGTGAACGTGGCCAGGTGACGGCCTGTCCGTGTACACGTGCAGATCGACACACGCTGACCCCCAGGAGTGGTGGTAGTGACCATCGAATCCTGGAAGGCAGCTGTACTCACCAATTTCGAAGAGAACGAGGGGAGATGAAGACCTGAGAGTGAGCCAGACGGAACCGCCGGACACGGGAGAACAGTGGAGGAACGGGCAAGAACTGGGCTCTCTGAGGGGTCGGCCAGTTTGACTGGTATAGGTGCAGAGAGAGGAGTGAGGGTGGTACTGTCGCGAAAGAAACAGCGGGAAGCACCTGAGTCAAGCGTAAAGGTGTGCAAGGCCTGTGCAGGCGCAGTACCAGGGAGAGCAGACTCACTAGCACCTAGAGCAGCAACCTCAATACCTGGGCTGGGCGGCACACTCCGGTAATAGTTACCCTCAGCACTAACAGACAAGGCATACATGGCAGCAATGATAGCATCATAGTCAAGAGCGAAGATATCAATTCTAGACCTAAGCAGCTCTGCCCAACGGGGGCGCTCAGCCTCATCTCCAAACTTAGCGCGCCAAGCGTTGTCTAGACGGGAGAAGCAGCAGTGCTGAGAGTGAAACTTCCCGCATGTCTGACCAGCACGGTCACCCGTGCGAATGACATACGGGCAGCGAACACTACCCCCAGACACCCCACGCTGAGCAAACCACTCACGAAGCTGCTGGGGCGAAGGGGTCTCGCTCCGACGCTGCTGCTGCTGCTTCTGCTGCTGCTTCTGCTGCTGCTGCTGTCATTAGAGTAGAAGCAGCCCCGACATCCTCAGCACCAAGGATGTCAACTACAGCAGCAGAAGCGTAGGAGGGGGCAAGGGGGGAGGGGGAACAGTCCTCAACAAAGGGTGTGCGAGGAGTGCCACGAGCAGCACCTACAGCGACTACGCTAGTCTCAGCTGCAAGGAGGTGCTTCTCGAGCAGGTCGACAGTGAGGTCTGTGGGGTCAAGTGCGAGAAAGTGGTCCTCGACAGCGCGAAGAGAGTCAGGGAGGCGGGTGACAACGAAGTAGAGAGTGATGTACATCGGGGGCGGTTTCCTGTCAAGGAACTCTGTTGGGAGGGCAGCACGGTAGCGAGCGTCGCTAGTGCGGAGGTGGGTAACGAGGTCCTCGACTGTGGCAAAGGCGGACTGCTCGGGAAACAGGTAGGGCAGTATAAGGCGGCCTAGAGCAGCAGTGGCAGGGGAGGAGTAACGAGCGACTACAACGTCGTACAGGGCTTTAGCAGTCTTGTGCTGGCCAAAGTGAGCGCGTTCGGCTAACGGCAGGTGGTTTCGAATGGCTAAGCAAGCAGCAGCGTCACGGGTAAGCCAGTGTGACCGGGTCGCACGGTCAGCTGTGGCGGGAGGGGCGAGAGAGGCTCCAGACGTGTGGTCAAACAACGAAACGCTGTCTCTAGAATCGCTCTGTAGGTACAGCTGTAAGTCGTCGAGCCACGTATCGAACTGGATCGGACGGCCCTCATGATCGAAGGTGAGTACACTGAGAGAAGCCATAGCGGGCAGAGTAGGGTGGCGCGCGACCAGCAGAGCAGCACGCAGGCAGGGCGGCGCGCGAGAACGAGGGAAGCGCGCAGGGCAGGGCAGGGAGGCACACGGCTAGGGCGGCCAGCTAGGCGGCGCACAGCAAAGCGGGCGCCAGCAGGGCGGCCCGGTCAGGAGGGCGTCAGCCAGTAGGGCTGCTCGCAGCAGGGCGGGCAGCAGCCGGGCGGCGCAAGCAGGGCGGCGCAAGCAGTGCGGCGCAAGCAGGGCGGCGCAAGCAGGGCTGCGCAAGGGTGCAAAGGGCGGCGCGCGGGCTGCAAGGGGCGGCGAGCGGGCTGCAAAAAGGCGGCGCGCGGGCTGCAAGGGGCGGCGAGCGGGCTGCAAAAGGGCGGTGAGCGGGCTGCCTGAAGGCGGCGCGCGGGCTGCAAGGGGCGGCGAGCGGGCTGCAAGGTGCAGCGAGCGGGCTGCAGGGGGGGCGAGCGGGCTGCAAACGGGCGGCGAGCGGGCCGCAAACGGGCGGCGAGCGGGCTGCAGGGGTGGCGCGCGGGCTGCTAAAGGCAGCGCGCGGGCTGCAGGGGCGGCTCGCGGGCTGCAGGGGCGGCGAGCAGGCTGCAGGGGTAGCGCGCGGGCTGCAAAGGGCGGCACAACGGGCTGCAAAGGGCGGCGCGCGGGCAGCTAAGGGCGGCACAGCGGCCAGCAGGGCGGCGCAACAGTTAGGGCAGGGCGGTAGGGCAGCTAGTGGCAACACTCTGTGGTGGGCCCTAAAAAAAATCGGTCCTAGAACGGACCTGCTCTGAAACCATGTCAGAATACTGAACGAGAATGGTTGGATTGAACAGAAAGTTGGGTACAAGTACTAACCCTATTTGGGTTGTACCCCTTATGGGCTACTGCACTACAGCCCACACAATGTAAGCACTATATAAGTTTGACAAATAACACTACCATAAAATGTTTTCAGTATTCTCCCGGACATAAGGGAAAGGGCTCTTCATAGGAAAAAGCTACATAATACCCGGGTGGATATATATGGCATATTTTAGTGTACGTTTGTTTTTTATTTGACAACTTGGGTGTTCCATGGTCGTTTTAACATCACAGGTTGAGGCGCGAATGTGAGTTACGGCGAGAACCAGTGGCACCCTCTCGAAAATGCCATGTGCCACCACTCTGGCCACGTGCAGCGAAAGATTCACCAGCGTGGCGAGAGCGAAATAGCAGGAGGGGGAAAATTGCGGCAGATTTGAAGTAAAAATACCGCGAAATTTTGTCGAGAGATTCTGGCGATATACTCCCGTACTTGCACCTACTTGTTAACATCTATAATAAGGAATCTGTAAGAAAAGGGGGTGTTATAAAAAATCACCCCAAAAGGGGGGTATAATAGAAACGAGGTCGCTTATTACACCCACCCCGCACAAGCTACCCAGGGGGTCTTTAATTTTGGCAGGTGTTTTGTTTGGGAGAATACGGTAATCTAAAATATGGCACTAAACGGGACTGAATTTCGGCAAGGCGCACTGATCTATTAGTGTTCCCTAACCCTAAGTAGTGCAGTAGAGGCCCTTATGAATGAAAACAGCCCACCATCAGCAACTCTGAGATCACGCCAGGATCTTGCGGTGCCTTGCATACGAAACAAGGGCAACAAAGAGCAGAGTTGGCACCAATGTTCCGAGCACAACCACCTGCACAGATCAACTCCAATGGCAATGACGTACTTGCGAACAGAACTTGAGGATACACAGAACCCTAAATGAAAAGATTGTGATGCAAGACATAAACAGTTGGTCCCTACAGAAAGAAAAGGACAGCAGATGCATGAAGGATTGAGACGGACCCAGACAAAGGCAGATGGATCTGTGTTCCACGCGTAGGGGATGTTCATTCCGAATATGCCGACGACGGTGGCGGAGATGGACGTGCCCATGATGCCCGCATTCAGCACCAGCTCCAGCTGCCACCCGTGATGCGGGGTGGGAGGGAGGGAAAGAGGAGCACATGAGAGCCTCTTGGCTTACTGCAACAGCAATTTAGACATCTCAATTCAGAGATCAGTGCAGAGCAAGCTCAGGAGCACGAGAGGGTGAGAATGGGAGAGGGGTAGAGAATGAGAGCTGAGAATTGCGAAAGAGCAAGAGATTGAGGGAGAGAGCAGAATATTGGGAGAGAGAAAGCGACAGAGAGATAGAGCTTAGGTCATTAAGCATGAGGGCTATGCTCCTGAGCTCATAAGATCTGGCCGACCACTCCAGCATGTGCTCTGCCTGTACGTCCATGCCCACCGCCATGCCCACCCCCATGCCCACCTCAATTGCTAGAAGCTTCCTGCCATCCCCTAACCCAAACTCCAGCCACACCCACCCACTGCTTTCCCTATTCGCCTAGGATGCGGACAATGGCTCGTAGCAGTCCAATTCACACTGCTGCTCCACCTCCGCCCACCACATTTTGCTACCGCCTTGCACTTCCGGCTGGGGATACGTTTGTGTGCACCACAGTTGTGCAACTGGCGCAAGAAGGTTGAGTTCCAAACTATATGGCCGGCACAGCACGTGCTTCATCGCTCACAAGGAGAGCATAGCACGTAACATGGCGGCGGTGTGGATGTGTGACGTCAGTCACTGGCAGCCAAAGGCCGACACTGGGCAGCAAGGAGCAAAGAAGATCGACCACTACAGAAACCGTGCTGCCTATGTTGGTCCCACTAGCCGTAGAACCACCTGGCTACCCCTAAACCATGTCCTCAAAATTTCGGCCAGAACAGAGGCCTGAAGACTCTTCAATTCAGGCCCCTTGGTTTCACCAGCAGCAAAGCATCAGCGGCAGCCCGAGCACGCTTCTGAGTTCACTCTTTGTTCGAACTTCCTAAACATGGCACGTTTAACAGACCTTGTGAGCAGGAAAGCAGAATACCCATGGGATGCACAAACACAGCAGCCCTCACCTGGGGAGAGCCTGGGGCAGCTCGTCACAGGAAGACCCTTGGTGCGCCCTTGCTCATGCCACATGGCAAGGAGGTGTGCATGGCATGGTGTGAGTGAGTTGGCGGGGCTCTCTCACCTGGATGAGCTGATTGCGGTGATTGTCAATCTGCACGGCATGCACACACACGTCAGGTGAGACCGAGATTCGGGAGATGAGGGGGGAGGAGAGGAGTGCGGCGGTGAGGGGAGACGCGAGGAGTGGGGTATGCAGGAGAGGAAACGATAAAGAGAGGGGTATGTAGGCGAAATGCACAGCAGCAACTTTCGCGGTAATTAGAGATCCTTCCGATACTTGCATTGCATGCACACGATAGGAAGAGTGTTTTGAAGCAGTGTGAGGTGGATTGGGCAGCGGCACCTGGATGTTGATGTAGTCCTCCGTGTCGTCGATGTACTCCCTCAGCTGTTGCCCCGCCCCGCACGCCCGGGGGCCGAGCGCGAGTGGCGGCGGAAGGGAGGGCGGGAAGGAGGGAGGAAGGGCGGAAGAAAGGAAGGGAGGAAGGAAGGAAGGGGGGAAGTGAGGAAGGGAGGGAAGGAGAGAGGAAGGGAGGGAGGGAGCGACGGAGGGAGGGAGGGAGGGAGGGAGGGAGGGAGGGAGGGAGGGAGGGAGGGAGGGAGGGAGGGAGGGAGGGAGGGAGGGAGGGAGGGAGGGAGGTAGGGAGGGAGGGAGGGAGGGAGGGAGGGAGGGAGGTAGGGAGGGAGGGAGGGAGGGAGGGAGGGAGGGAGGGAGGGAGGGAGGGAGGGAGGGAGGGAGGGAGGGGGGGGACGAAAGGTAGGCGGACAGACGTAAGCTTATGGATGAAGACAAGGGGGAACACTGAACGCCAGGACGAAGACATCGGTGGTGCGCATATGGGGCAACGTGTACGGCCATGTCGCATGGGCGGCATGGGCGGCATGGGTGGCATGGGCGGCATGGGCGGCATGGGTGGCATGGGTGGCATGGGCGGCATGGGTGGCATGGGCGGCATGGGTGGCATGGGCAGCAAGGGTGGCATGGGCGGCATGGGCGGCATGGGCGGCATGGGCGGCATGGGCGGCATGGGCGGCACGGGCGGCATGGGCGGCACGGGCGGCATGGGCGGCATGGGCGGCATGGGCGGGCTCACAGTGAAGAGGTTGTTGAGGATGCTGTCGATCTGCACGAAGTAGGACTGTGGCGGGGCGAGGAGAAGCACGGATGGAGCACAGAGGGAGAAGGAAGAGCAGTTGGAGAACGATGAAGGGGCAAGAAAGGTCATGGAGGAAAGACAACACCTGCTGCGATCATGATAATGAGAGCAGTGCGAGCAGTGAGAGCAGTGAGAGCAGTGAGAGCAGTGAGAGCAGTGAGAGCAGTGAGAGCAGTGAGAGCAGTGAGAGCAGTGCGAGCAGTGCGAGCAGTGCGAGAAGTGCGAGCAGTGAGAGCAGTGAGAGCAGTGAGAGCAGTGAGAGCAGTGAGAGCAGTGAGAGCAGTGAGAGCAGTGAGAGCAGTGCGAGCAGTGAGAGCAGTGAGAGCAGTGAGAGCAGTGAGAGCAGTGAGAGCAGTGAGAGCAGTGAGAGCAGTGAGAGCAGTGAGAGCAGTGAGAGCAGTGAGAGCAGTGAGAGCAGCGAGAGCAGTGAGAGCAGTGCGAGCAGTGCGAGCAGTGCGAGAAGTGCGAGCAGTGAGAGCAGTGAGAGCAGTGAGAGCAGTGAGAGCAGTGAGAGCAGTGAGAGCAGTGAGAGCAGTGAGAGCAGTGCGAGCAGTGAGAGCAGTGAGAGCAGTGAGAGCAGTGAGAGCAGTGAGAGCAGTGAGAGCAGTGAGAGCAGTGAGAGCAGTGAGAGCAGTGAGAGCAGCGAGAGCAGCGAGAGCAGCGAGAGCAGCGAGAGCAGCGAGAGCAGCGAGAGCAGCGAGAGCAGGGAGAGCAGCGAGAGCAGGGAGAGCAGGGAGAGCAGTGAGAGCAGTGAGAGCAGTGAGAGCAGTGAGAGCAGTGCGAGCAGTGAGAGCAGTGCGAGCAGTGAGAGCAGTGAGAGCAGTGAGAGCAGTGAGAGCAGTGAGAGCAGTGAGAGCAGTGAGCAGTGAGAGCAGTGAGAGCAGTGAGAGCAGTGAGAGCAGTGAGAGCAGCGAGAGCAGCGAGAGCAGCGAGAGCAGCGAGAGCAGCGAGAGCAGTGAGAGCAGCGAGAGCAGTGAGAGCAGTGAGAGCAGTGAGAGCAGTGAGAGCAGTGAGAGCAGTGAGAGCAGTGCGAGCAGTGAGAGCAGTGCGAGCAGTGCGAGCAGTGCGAGCAGTGCGAGCAGTGAGAGCAGTGAGAGCAGTGAGAGCAGTGAGAGCAGTGAGAGCAGTGAGAGCAGTGAGAGCAGTGAGAGCAGTGAGAGCAGTGAGAGCAGTGAGAGCAGTGAGAGCAGTGAGAGCAGTGAGAGCAGTGAGAGCAGTGAGAGCAGTGAGAGCAGTGAGAGCAGTGAGAGCAGCTGCTCACCTCCAGCAGCTGCTCACCTCCAGCAGCTGCTCCAGCTCTTCAATGTCGTCGTTGTCGGAGTGCGCACTGCTGTATGCACTCGCGCGACTCATCAGCGCCGCCACGCCCCCACCCCCTGCCCCCATGCCCATGCCACCCCACCGCCCTCCAATGGACATTCGCGAGCCGAGCGGGGAGGTGGCGAGGTGGGGAGAGGCAAACGGTGCGTGGAGGGTGGCGGGGGCGGAGAGGGAGAAGGCGAGGGAGGCGGCGCCGTGCAGCGAGGTGGCGGTGGGGGAGTGCGGGGCGGCGGCCATGCGGGTGAGGAACATCTCGGCCATGTCGTCATCGTCGTCCAACAGCTGCTCCAACTCCTCCCTCACCTGCCATGCCGCGCCATGCCATGCCATGCCGTGCCGTGCCGTACCATGCCGTACCATGCCATCCCGTGCCGTGCCGTGCGATGCCGTGCCATGCCGTGCCATAACGTGCCATGCCGTGAATGGTGCGTATGGCGTGTGGCATGCGTGTGGCATGCATGTGGCATGCGTGTGGCATGCGTGTGGCGAGCACAAGGGTGAGCACGCAGTGGAGGTGCATGCATGGGTGGCCGTGCTCCACACCACACGTCCAGATGCTCTGCTCAGTGCACCATTTTTGTTGGGCTGCACCCTTTGATGTCAACATGAGAAACGGAGGAGGAAGAAACAAACCTTCTGCACGCGAGCAATGAGTCGACTCATTCTGTTCTTCATGCTTCTCACTCGGTCCAGGTTGAGACTGCTCACCTGCCACCCACGCCATGCCATCACCACCACCACGACAATCGCAGCCATGCACACAAGCACAAGAAGTGATTAGTAAGAAGTGCTTAGTAAGAAGTGATTAGTAAGAAGTGATTAGTAAGAAGTGATTAGTAAGAAGTGCTTAGTAAGAAGTGATTAGTAAGAAGTGATTAGTAAGAAGTGATTAGTAAGAAGTGCTTAGTAAGAAGTGATTAGTAAGAAGTGCTTTCACTAGCGCACGTAACATATTGCTCACAAGACCGGGCAGCAAACTCTGCTGCATCCAGCCATGGCTGGGCTCTCCTTCGAATTGACAGGCGAGGGGGGAGAGAAGCGTGGAGAGACGGAGAGCATGAGGAAAGGTGGAATGGATGGGGCAGGGGAGGGGGCACTGACTCGGGAGGTGAGTTCATCGAGGGCGGGGTACGCCTCGTTCTCCAGCAGCGTGGTGTGCGAGTCCAGCGCACGGCACACCTGCTCCAACGCCACCTCCAACGCAATGAACTCGAATGGCCGGTCTGATGCACACACGGGAGCACGTGGGGATGGCAAGAAAGACAGTGGGTGCGTTGTAATTAGGAATGGGCACAGAAACCAGCACGATTCGCCTAGAGCCATTCTTTTATTCCTAACGATTTGAGTCGACCCGGCTGGGGTTCCAGTTGAAACACGTCGAACCCACAGGGCCCACAGCATGACTCACTGCATAACGATGGCAGACAAACCAGACGACTTGTAAACCAGACACATGGCATGGCATGGTACAGCGTGACTCACACTCCTCCATGTCCTCATCGTCCTCCTCTTCCTCCTCATGCTGCCATCCCTTTGCTCCCCTCTCTCCTCCACCCCGCTCCCCCCCCTCTGCTTGTAGCCCCGTGCCCTTCCCCCCACCGCCGTCCTTCACGCGCAGTCGCAGAGTGAGCGGCTCACTCTCCGCCCCCGACCCGTGCGCACTGCCCATGCCCTCCCATGCATCATCCTCCTCCTCCTCCTCGTCTTCCTCCTCATCCCCTTCGCCATCCACTGGCCCACGTCTCTCACGCCCTTCACACTCCACCATCTCAATCTCTGGCGTCGCACGTACTCTCCGCCTCTCGTCTACTCTTCTCGCCGCATTGCTCCCATAAGCAGCGTTTCCAGTCTCCCTTGTCCCCTCACTCCCTTCCGGAAGGCCCTCTCTCCCCCCTCCACCCCTATCCACCTCCCTTGCCTCGCCACTGTCGGAGTCGTGCCTCCTCGCAGAACCATCAGCGCCACTCACAGCGCCGCCAGCAGCAGCACCCACATGGGAAGCGATGCCAATGGGAGCAGGGGGAGCAGCTGACGCGCTTCTGGTGGCACCGGGGCTGGCAGCTTCAGCTGAACCCAGGACAGCAGCAAGGGGGCCAGCGGCAGGGGGGCCAGCGGCAGGGGGGCCAGCAGCGGGCTGCAGGTGCAGGCGGCGCAGCAGCTCGTCCACGAACCGCTGCACGCCCTCGTGAGCCGGGTTGCGCAGTAACACCTGCCCACAGGAAGGGAGGGGGAGAGAAAGAGGAGAATGGGAAGGGGGGACGGAAGGAGAGGGGGCGATGTGTGTGCTTCCTGCTGAACCCAGCAAAGAGGCGAGAAGACAGGAAAAGGGGGGTGTAATGAGGAGCATCCACTGCTGCTGGACATTTCAAAGGCAGATGGAAATAAAGAAGGAGAGGAATGCATATGGAGGGGACTAGTCGTTTGACGTGCATGCAGGGATTGATGCAGCGGTTCCACATTCGATTCAAGAAGCCATGGATGCTGATAGAGAAAAGTTCATGAGCACACGGTCGCATGCAGTGGGGAGAGCAGCAGCAGCGAATGAATGGATGCCAGGTGGGTGTGGGACGGCAGTTGGGGTGGCAGGTGGGTGTGGGACGGCAGTTGGGGTGGCAGGTGGGTGTGGGACGACAGTTGGGGTGGCAGGTGGGTGTGGGACGGCAGTTGGGGTGGCAGGTGGGTGTGGGACGGCAGTTGGGGTGGCAGGTGGGTGTGGGACGGCAGTTGGGGTGGCAGTTGGGTGTGGGACGGCAGTTGGGGTGGCAGTTGGGTGTGGGACGGCAGTTGGGGTGGCAGGTGGGTGTGGGACGGCAGTTGGGGTGGCAGTTGGGTGTGGGACGGCAGTTGGGGTGGCAGCTGGGTGTGGGACGGCAGTTGGGGTGGCAGCTGGGTGTGGGACGGCAGTTGGGGTGGCAGTTGGATGAAGGATGAAGAGGGAGAGAGGAGGTACCTCTTCAGCCGTGATGATGGCCTTGAGGTGCTGCCGTGCCGCCACCACCACGCGCAGATGAGTAACGATTGTAACATTCCACAGATGACAACACAAGCACACATGTGCACATGGAATGCAATGCAAAGGAGAAACAAATGGAATAATGATGTAGAAGAAGAAATGAAAGAAACCCAGCCTTGGACTGGCACACATATGGACGAGCCCGTTGCGTCCTACACATGATAAAGAAAGCAAACCACCCTTCTTTCAGACCTCCGTTCCAAGTCCAACCCATTCCCAGCATAATGCCGGCCTGGTTCACGTTCCAAGTGACTTGCTTCCCAAGCAAAAATCAAAGTGAGCTTACGTACCGAGCAGTCACCCATTCACACACACCCATCCCCATCCCCATCCCCATCCCCATCCCCATCCCCATCCCCATCCCCATCCCCACCCCCACCCCCACCCCACCCCCGTCCCCGTTCCCGTGCCCGTGCCCGTGCCCATGCCCATGCCCATGCCCATGCCATGCCCATGCCCATGCCCATCCCCATGCCCATGCCCATGCCCATGCCCATGCCCATGCCACAGCGTGGCGCACCTCAAGGTTGAGGACGATGGCGCGCTCGCGGCCGAGGATGGTGGAGGGGTAGGAGAGCAGCGGGTCGAGGATGCGCAGGTCGCGCGCATGCAGCCCCGTGCGCTGCATCACCGCCGCCCGGTCTAGCTCCTCCTCGCCCTCCCGCCCCTCCACGTCCACCCACCGCCACCGCACCTGATGCCATGCGCCCTCCCACACCACGCCCCATGCCCATGCCATGCATCCACCATGCACAACGGTCATGAGGAGGGGAAATGTGACAAGAAAGGTTGGCCGTGAGGAGGGGATAAGGGATGGGGGAGAGGTGAGAAGTGGGGGACGAATGGGAAAGGGAGGTGGGAGGGGAAGGGGAGGAAGAAGGGGCGAGGTGCAGGCAGTATTAGACGGGAATTCGGCGACGGCAGTATTGCAGTGCACCCACCACCACCACCACCACCACCACCACCACCACCACCACCACCAACGACAAGCTTGTGAACCGTCTTTCACCTTCATCAGCCCGCCTGCTTTCTTCTCCTGCGGTGCTGACGTGGCAGCAGGGGCAGCAGCTGCTGCTGCCACGTGTTGCTCATTGACAGGATCCAGACGAGCCCTGTGCTTGACGTTCTTCTGCACGCAGTGGGCGGATGGGGGGCGCAGCAAGGGAGTGTGATTGCAAGGAAGTGAGCGCAGCACAGCGGCATGCGTGGGGCGAGGATTGTGGAGCGCGCATGGCATGGAGGTGGCCGGGCTTCTTCGCAATGGGTGTGAGGTTGGGCATCGGGCATGAGGTGGGGTGAAGTGAAGGGCATGAGTTCCGCAGCCAAAGAGGCGACATGGCATCACAGCGGCACAGCATCACAGCGCCATGGCATTAACCGGAGCGATAGTATCGCCTTGCGGGCATCTGGTGGCTCGCACGGTACTCGCTGCTAAACGAGCCCGCCGTTCACGCGCTAAAGGCGCTAAGGCGCGCCAATTGTCGCGGCGGTGGAGGTGGAGGCGATCGAGCAAGCAGCGAGGCGGACCTGGTAAGCCGCGAACTCCGCGGAGGCTGGCTGCCGCTTCATGCTCGCCGCACTCGTCGCCTGCCGCCGCCCTCGCTGCCCCGCTAGGCCCGTCGCACGCCCTCGCTGCCCGGCTACGCCCGTCGCACGCCCTCGCTGTCCCGCTACACCTTCGCTGCCGCCGCTACGCCCTCGCTGCCGCAGGCGGCGAGGCGAGCCAAACCCTCGCTGCCGCACGGCCGAACCCTGATGGCTCGCTTCCTAAACCGGACAGGCGCGCGCCGCACGTACAATAAGCGACTGATGGGCCGAAGGAACATGATTTGGAAAGCTGCGCATCGTGTGTTCATGATCTTGTGGGGTTGGACTCGTTATGGACGGCTTCGCTCCCACACATGTTTGCTTGAAATGTTGAATTACTCTTTGAGAAAGCTCTGAAGCTATCTCCTTTCTATTGGGAAGAGGGGCTGCTAATAAGGTTGGTTGCGTTACAAAATTACAAAAATATTTACATTGTGAAGGCCTTGCATCAACTAGTTCGGCCTGAATTTTCGAACTCGGTGTCAGAACATTATAGCTTTTATATTTGTGTAGGCTATAGTGGGGTAGCACATAAAGGGTACAACCCAATTAGGGTTAGAACTTGTACCCAACTGTTTCTTAGTTCATTCATTCATGTTCATTCCTTTGACATGGTTTCAGAGCAGGTCTTCCGCTACGACCATTTTTTTTTTGCTCACCACTGAACTGCTCCTAACAACCCTCGTGTCGCCCCGTAGCTCGTCGCCCCTAGGCACGTCGACCCCTAGACCACGCCCCGGCCCCGTCGATCCCTAGACCGCGCCACGGCCCCGTCGACCCCTAGCCCGCGCCACGGCCCGTCGACCCCTAGCCCGCGCCACGGCCCCCGTCGACCCCCTAGCCCAGCGACCGGCCCCGTCGACCCCTAGCCCGCGCCCGGCCCCCGTCGACCCCTAGCCCCGCGCCCGGCCCCGTCGACCCCTAGCCTACGCCCGCCCCCCCCCCCCACGTCGACCCCTAGCCCGCGCCCCCCCCCCCCCCCCCCCCCCCCCCCCCCCCCCCCCCCCGTCGACCCCTAGCCCGCCCCCCCCCCCTCCCCCCCCCCCCGTCGACCCCTAGCCCGCGCCCGGCCCCGTCGACCCCTAGCCCCGCGCCCGGCCCCGTCGACCCCTAGCCCGCGCCCAACCCCGTCGACCACTAGCCCCGCGCCTAGCCCCCGTCGACCCCTAGCCCGCGCCACGGCCCCGTCGACCCCTAGCCCGCGCCACGGCCCCGTCGACCCCTAGCCCCGCGCCTTGCCCCCGGCGACCCCTAGCCCGCGCCACGGCCCCGTCGACCCCTAGCCCGCGCCACGGCCCCCGTCGACCCCTAGCCCCGGCCACGGCCCCGTCCACCCCTAGCCCGCGCCACGGCCCCGTCCACCCCTAGCCCCGCGCCCGGCCCCCGTCGACCCCTAGCCCGCGCCACGGGCCCGTCGACCCCTAGCCCGCGCCACGGCCCCCGTCGACCCCTAGCCCCGCGCCCCGCCCCGTCGACCCCTAGCCCCTTGGCACCTCGGCCCCTAGGCCCCAGGCCCCTCGGCCCCTAGGCCCCAGGCCCCTCGGCCCCTTATCCTCACTGTCCCTGCTGCTACTACTGCTACTACTGCTACAGCTCCTACTGCTGGTGCTACTGCTGCTACTGCTGCTCCTGCGTGCTGCACAGCAATTGCTTCGCTTAGGGTTCTCGCGTTTGATCATGAGGGCAGACCGGTTCAGTTTGACACGTGGCTCGATGACCTGCAGCTGTACCTACAGAGCGATTCTAAGGACAGTGTTTCGCTGTTTGACCTAGCGTCAGGCGCTGCCACTGCCCCTCCCGCCACAGCTGACAGTGCGACCCGCTCACAGTGGCTTACTCGCAACGCTGCTGCCCGCTTAGCCATTCGAAACCACCTGCCGTTAGTCGAATGCGCTCACTTCAGACAGCACAGGCACTTTACGACGCTGTAGTCGCTCGCTACTCCTCCCCTGCCACTGCTGCTCTAGGTCACCTGCTTCTGCCCTACCTGTTCCCCGAGCTGTCCGCCTTTACCACAGTCGAGGATCTGGTTTCCCACCTTCGCGCTAGCGACGCTCGCTACCGCTCTGCCGCCCCCGCTGAGTTCCTTGTCAAAAACCAGCCCCCGATGTTCATCACCCTCTACTTCATAGTCACTCGCCTCCTTGACTCTCTTCGCTCTATCACGGACCACTTTCTCTCTCTTGACCCCACCTCCCTCACTGTTGACCTCCTCGAGCAGCATCTCCTCGCAGTTGAGACTACTGCAGTTGCTGTGGGTGCTGCTCGTGGCACTCCGCGCCCGCCCTTCTAGGAGGGGTGCTCCCTCTCCCCCCTTGCCCCCTCCTACGCCTCTGCTGCTGCTGCAGACGTCTCTGTTGCAGAGGACGTCGGGGCTGCTTCTGCTAGTGCGAAGCGCCGCAGCAGCAAGGGCAAGGGTGGCAAGGGTGGTGGAGGTGGCAGCGGCGGTGGTAGAGGTGGCAGCGGGAGTAGTGGTGGGGGCAGCAGTGGAGGTAGTGGCAACAGCGGGACTAGTGGAGGGAGTGGGGGCTCTGGTGGCGCCGGTGGAGGCAGCGGTGGGAGTGGCGGCAGTGGCGGCAGTGGGACTGGTGGCAGTGGGACTAGCGCTCAGCGTGTTGGTTCTGGAGGTGGCCAGCGTCAGCAGCAGCAGCGTCTGAGCGAGACCCAGTCGCCCCAGCAGCTTCGTGAGTGGTTTTTACGTGGGGTGTCTGGGGGTAGTTGCCCGTATGTCATTCGCACGGGTGTTCATGCTGGTCAGACAAGCGGGAAGCTTCACACTCAGCACCGCTGCTTCTCCCGCCTCGACGACGCTTGGCGTGCTGAGTTTGGTGACGACGTCGAGCTCCCTCGCTGGGCAGATCTGCTTAAGTCTAGGATTGCTATCTTTGACCTAGACTCTGATGCTATTCTTTCTGCTATGTATGCTTTGTCTGTTAGTGCTGAGGGTGACTGTTACCGGTGTGTGCCGCCTGACCTAGGTATACCTGTTGCTGCTCTTGGTGCTAGTGAGTCTGGTACTCTCCCTGGTACTGCGCCTGCTCAGGCCTTGCACACCTTCACGCTTGACTCACGCGCCTCTGCTTGTTTCTTTCGTGACAGCACCACTCTCACTCCTCTCTCTACACCTGTCCCGGTCTGACTGGCTGACCCCTCCAGGGGCCCGGTCTTCGCCCGTTCCTCCACTCTCCTCCCATGTGCGGCGGTTCTGTCAGGCTCACTGTCAGGTCTTCACCTCCCCTCGTTCTCTACGAACTTGGTGAGTACCGCTGCTGTCCAGGATGCGATGGTCACTACCACCACTCCTGGGGGCCAGCGTGTGTCGATCTGCACGTGCACACGGACGGGACGTCACCTAGCCACGTTCACTCGTCGGCCAGGGTCGAGTCTGTACACACTCGCTACTGAGTCTCCTCAGGTAGCCGCCCTTTGCTTGTGTCGCCTCCTGTCGCACCAGACTCTTCTGTGGCACCACCGCCTGGGTCACCCCTCCTTGCCACGCCTTCGTGGCGTGCACTCTCGTCTTCTTTTCTCTGGTCTTCCCAGGTCCCTGCCTCCTCTGCCGCCCTCGCCTGCCCCGCCCTGCCTTCCTTGCGTCGAGGGGGAGCAGCGCGCCGCTCCTCACTCCTCCTCGTTTCCCCCGACGACTGCTCCCCTGCAGAGTCTCCACATGGACATGTGAGGCCCAGCCCGCGTCAGTGGACAGAGCCGCGAGCGCTACTTTCTGCTAGTCGTTGACGACTACACGCGGTACACCACGGTCTTCCCCTTGCGCAGCAAGAGTCAGGTCGTTGATGTCTTGATCCCTTGGATCCGCACAGTCCGTCTCCAGCTCCGCGAGCGTTTCGGCCAGGACCTTCCTGTCCTGCGTCTCCACTCTGACAGAGGTGGTGAGTTCTCCTCCAACCTCTTGTGGGACTTTTGTCATGGGGAGGGCATTCTCCAGTCGTTCACGCTTCCGGACTCCCCTCAGAAAAATGGGATTGCTGAGCACCGCATTGGCTTAGTCATGGAGGTCGCTCGTTCCTCCATGATCCATGCGGCTGCTCCCCATTTTCTGTGGCCATTTGCGGTCCGGTACGCTGCGCATCAGCTCAACCTCTGGCCCCGTGTCTCCTTGCCGGAGACCTCGCCCACACTGCGTTGGACGGGGGAGGTTGGCAATGCGTCGGTGTTCCGGGTCTGGGGATCTCGTGCCTTTGTTGGCGATACGTCCGCGGACAAGCTCTCCCCCCGTGCTATCCCCTGCGTCTTCCTTGGCTTTGTCCCTGATGCGCCTGGCTAGCAGTTTTACCACCCCACCTCGCACCGTGTCTTCCCTTCTCAGGACGTCACGTTTGACGAGTCGGTTCCCTTTTACCGTCTCTTCCCCTACCGCTCTGCCCCTCCCCTGCCCTCGCCGCTCTTCCTTGCTCCCGATCCCCCTCCGGTAGACTCCCTCCTGCCCCAGGGTCTTGCTCCCTCAGGTGTGTCTCAGGTAGACCCTCTCCCTGGTCCGGTGCCTGTTCAGGTAGCTGTCGGCTCAGGTGCTGCTCGAGGTGCTGCGTCTGGGGGTGCTGCGTCTGGGGGTGCGGAGCATGGGGGTGCGGAGTCTGAGGGTGCTGAGATTGTGGGTGCTGAGCCTGAAGGTGCTGAGACTGGGGGTGCTGCGCC